CACCATTGTAAGAGGGAACTTCCAGTTCTCACCAATGTTAAGGTGCACCTCTCTGACCACTAATGTAAGTGAACATTACTCCGTTGACCACCAATGTAAAGGAGTACTAAATTTTTCACTGTCTGTGTTTTTTTCTTGCCATGATTATTTTTCATTTTATTAAATATTACTGAAAATTGTTGCATAGAGAATGACTTGGACGGTACCATAGGAGCTAATAAGTAGAGGTGTACCAAAATGGAAATTTCAAAACCGAAATAAAAAAACATTGTCAGGCCGAAACCGATACCGAATATGTTTTTTTTATTTTACTTTTTTCAAATTTTTCAAATTATTTTATTTTAATTTTTTATAAACTTTTTAAATTATTCTAATATTTTTATTCATTTTTTTATTCTACTTTTAGGGGCTTTGGGGAAATATTAGGGGTCTAAACAGACCCCTGATATTTCCCTTTTAAAATAGAAAAAGAGATTGAGGGCACAAAGTCCTCTATCTCTTATTCTTCAGCCCCTGTTATCAATGAACAGGAATCCTCTATACTGAGTGTTCCTGTTCATTCATAACATGAGAATATAGTATGTTTACTATAACTACAACTATGAATGAACAGGAGGTGATTTAGATCACTCCCATTCATTCATAATTGAGGATATAGTAAACATACCATGTCCTCAATTATCTACAATCACTCAGCGATCACTGACCGCTGAGTGTTTGCATTGACTCTCCTCTCTGACACACACTGTCACAGGAGGCTGAGCGAGCGGTGTAGGGAGGAGAGCTCAGCCTCCTGTGACAGCACGGGCTGTCTCCGCCAACACACCGCTCTGCCGGACTGCGATAGGAGGCTGAGCAGTGTGGGAGGAGAGACGCCGGCCGCTCACAGCACTCTCATCCCGCAGCACTTGGCCGGCTGTCACACTTTCTCTCCTCCCCGCTGGGACACAGAGCAGCGCCCAGCGGGGAGGAAAGAAACCATGGATGCGCCGATGTATCGGCACAAAAATTGCACTTTCGGCATTTAGCCAAAAGTGCCATTTTCGGCCGATATGTTTCGGCAGCCGATATATATCGGTGCATCCCTAGTAATAAGTGAATTCATGTTTTAGGTCCAGTTTAGGCCGTACAAAGAATGTGATGATGATGTTACAGTAACCTTTTACATTTCATCTTTCAATAGATTGCAGAATATTAACAATGATGACTCCCAGTTAGTACTGCAGACAGCTCCCAGCCTTACCAAATACCCTTGGCTGTATTCATTCCAATCTTCTAATATTTATAAAATGCAGACATTGCTTTCTTGGCTGAAATAGAAACATGTAGACATTTCTTGTAGTAGCTGCATATTGAAACATCTCCAAGCTTCCTCATGCAGTAAGTAAAATCAATTGCAGGCAGGTGTCTATAATAAGGTTGTTAACCTCATCAAGGATTTCCGCTGACTTCAAAACTCTGAGCCAGAAGGTCGAGTGCTTGGATATGTAACCGAAGACAGTGTGAACAGTCTAATTTATGGAAGCCTGTCTGGCTTTAATTTGGTCTTTTTCTTTGCCTCTGATACCACTCATTCCTGCATCAACATGATATCAACCTTTTGTCTGTACACCTCTGCTCTGTAGCTAAGATGTGAGGTTTTATTCTACAATTTCCTCTCTCGAGTTCCACTGTGCCCCAGTGCTACTTGCCGTTTAGCTATTGCATACACCTGGAGAATGTAAAGGTTCTCCTATTTGTCATACTGCCAAGTATAATCAAATTCCAATCAGTATGCTTTTATATATTGACTTCCTGTTGATGGATAATGTGCCGGTTTATGTCTGGTGATAGGAACTTTCCAGTTTTCTGAATTCATTGACCAGTCTTCTCATCTTCACTATTTAACATGACCTGTGGTCTATTAAGCAGCTCATGCATGCAGACTGGGCCTCCTAAACTTCCCAAGGCAGGCTGCAGATGACCCAGTCTGTACAGTGATGAGTGATGACTGACTTATGACATGGGTGGCATATTGCTGGGGGACAATAGAGGCAACTGGGCAAGAGCTACCTACACCGATGAAACTCTTATTCAACCACGTTCCCCTTCCTGGTCATTTGATATCCAGATGAATGTCTGGCTGCCTCAGAAATCTTTGGCTGTTGAATTAGGGGCCTCTTATAGAATAGAAAAAGATCTAAAGCGCGCTTCTTCTGCTGATAAACCATTTTGTAAGGTAACCTTTATGTTTTTTAGTGTAGGTAATGACCATGCCTGTATCTGTTTGGTACAAGCCAGTCAGAAATTCCTATTTTCAGGGTTCATTAAACACCGGCTTTCTACTTGGAAACTGTGTCGGAGCCTTTGGCCATTGATTTGAAGTAATTGAGACCCTTCTTCTGTGTATGTACATATTAACAATAAAAACTGCACTCAACTTGAACTGTTCCAAACAACAAGTACAATTGGTGACATGGTAATGTTATCCAGGAAATACTAATGCTGTGCTGAAGTCAGGAAATTCCCTTCTAATGCTGAGCTTTATGTATTTTCTACAGGCAGACAGCAACTTTTCGCTTTATTTGTAGACAGGCCTATCGCTTTTGGTGACGCATGGGCTTAGAGAGAAGATTGTGAAAATGCAAACTGATAAGTTTCTGTACCAAGACCTTCATGATCAGATAACCCTCCTATTTATCAGCTGAACCCCTTGTTTGCATAATCACCTGTCCATCACCAGGATCCTCTGAGCTGAAGACCAACTCTTCCTGCTCCAAGTCAAGCATGCCCCTAGCCCTTCTCCTTCTCAAGTATTCATATTGGTCCTTCAGTTAGAAGAGATTAATAGACTTATTTGCTAATATAGGAAACAAGATGTCACCAGCACACCGAAGGAATATCTTCAAGCAAACATCTTTTATTGATGCATATTGTCACAAGGATGGCAACATTTCAGGACTGTGCACGGTCCCTTTCTCGGGCTCAGTATGGTGTCATACTAAGCCTGAGGAAGGGACCCTGAGCAGTCCCAAAATGTTGCCATTCTTGTGACAATATGCATCAATAAATGATGTTTGCTTGAACACATTCCTTTGGTGTGCTTGTGACATCTTGTTTCCTATATTGATCAGAGCGGCACAGTCATTTCAGCACCCTCCTCAAGGGGTTTACTGGTAAAGAGTGCGGTGGGATACCTATTGAACTTCTTATAGGCCAATATGGCACATCAGGAGGTTGGATGTGATTTTTTATGGTTTTATCCAGGAATCCATTCAGTTGTGTGTTTATTCTGTATTGCTTAGGTTTGCGCAGTTTTATTCTAAATAAAAAAATGCACATTTTTATTAGGTTAAGATGTAAGTAGTTTGCATACAGGCTACTTATCATTCAGTTTGTGCTTACATCCCGCCTTGTTTGATTAAGACTGCCTAACTAAATGTATGCTTTTTCTGCAATTTTCTTCTAAATAAAAATGTAAAACACTTGCAAGCACTGTGCATCTGGTGCAGTATTTCCATTGTCCACAAGAGGGCTCTGCAGACTTTAAAGACATGCGTGTAGTCTCATTTCTAGAGCAGCGTTCAAAAAAGATTACCTCACCGTACCTGTGTAACGCCTGGGCTTGGCTGGGCGCCACATTTGGCGCTTTGCCAGTGTCTTCCATTCACTTGATTGGAATCGCAGATACAATTTGCTAATCCACTTTCAGAGCCTGAAGAATCAGAAATGCAATCCATCTTTCAAAAATGGCTTTTTAAAACTATGACGTTATCAGGATGGTTTATTTATTTATTTTGACCAAAATTTTGGACTTTATAAAAACTATTTTATTTTCAAATCGATCGCTTAAAATGAACTGCACTGAAGCATAGACTGAGGCACCATACCATTAACCCCTTCATGACTGAGGCCCTTTTTTCCATTTTTGCACCCATGTTATATTCCACATTTTAGGCCTGAAAACGTCAGCATAATAATATATATTCTTGTTTGTGTTGATTATTTTCTCTGTAAAGGAGTAAGAGAAACGCGTACATTGCTGAAAGTGCTAGTTGCTGTTTTCTCTCTGGCATCAGAAGCTGACGCAGCACAGGAAAGTCGGTGAAGTTGGAGCTGCTAATCTGCATACAGCTCTGTGGCTCAAAGTACTGAAGCCATGGACAAGTATGACACCCAAGAGACTTGTATTTTCAGATGAGAGTCAGCAATGGCTTATAACTAAGATGGTGGTGGGGGATAACATTGATGATGGGGGGGGGGGGGGGGGCATGCTGTCAGAGATCATAGTGTGGCCTTTAAGGGGAGAGCTACTAGAGAATATGAGGCCGGTGTGTGGAGAACTGTCAGAGAACATAGTGTGGCCAGTGAGGCTTTAATAAAAAGCTTTAATAATATACAAAACAGCCAACCTGTGTCTGGGACCAAACCGCCTCCCCTCATCCGGGCTTATTGTATTAGACAAATCTGTAAACCTGTAATGCGTGTGCCATGAATGCTGGCATGCTCTGCTGCTGCTGACTTTTAGGATACCACATTCAATCCACACAGATTCGTATAATAAAACCTAGCTTAAGTTCTGATTTACCTTAAACCCTGATGAAGGGGGGCAGTGGTTTGGCCTCCAAAACCTACTGACTGTTATTTTGTGAATCATTAAAGCTTCTGGACTCTTACAAATTTGATCTGATGCTGCTTCCGTTGGTCCTTTGGAGGTTATCCCTTTTTAGGATGAGAACAGCCTAACCAGAGCCAGTGAGCTCTTGAAATGGTTGTCTTTTCCCCTTATTGCTCCGTATAACCCAGCATTGAAGTCCCAGCACCTCTTGGGTGTATCCTATTTAAATCAATAGAGACCTGGCAGAGGTTCTAAATCTTTACAAAACTAGAAAAAAAATAGTTTTGGTGAGAAACCCACTTAAGAATTGCTCCAATAAGCTAAGCCTTAAATGTATTCTTTGTGATTATGCAGTAAATTGGTGCCAATAAAGTTATACTCTTTTTTTCTTTTTGTTCAACAGGGGATACAAGCTCGGATTCTGGAGACTGTTGTCATGCTCATCCTCCTTGCACTCCTTATCTTTGGTATTGTGTGGGTGGCATCTGCCTTGATAGACAACAATTCGGCAAGCATGGAGTCTTTGTATGGTAAGACTCCGAGCTCTACTTGTCCTCCTACATTTTCTTGATGGTCAGTCCACACATATAAAGAGGTGATATTAATTGATTCATTGTGTCAAATGGGTTAGGGTGATGAACTGTTTGAAGCAATGGCAAAGCATGACTTGGCAAAAGTCATATGAAAAGGCATTTTTTTTGTGGTAAAATGTAAATTCTGTATAATTAACTAAATTGGACCTGTCATCTAGTAGTAAACACAATGCAGATGGACAGTGGACTTGGCTCTGCCATTAAATAGGGTTTTAAAGGAATTTGTAATCATTATGTTAGAACAGTCACTATGTAAATATAGAGGGAGCAGTATATTTGGTAGTCTTCGTCTGTGGGAATACTCAGAATTTCACCCGTGTGTTTAAAATTGCACCTTGTTTGTTAGGGTTATGTGGTCCTTGGCCTAGTCCTGCATGCCTCTTACATATTTGTGTATTGCTCTGGGTGCACAAGATGGTTTAATTGTGGAAAGGTTGTCTGTGATGGGAGCTATTATATCTGGTAGAGAGAGGATACAGGAGAAAGAATGTGAGATTAGGCTGATATATGGTTTAATCACTACCTTCATTCCTTCAGTTTTATCTTTGTACCTGGGCTTCACCCTGTTTAGTGACGCACCTTACACCCTGAAGCTGCCATGGTAACAACAATGTAAGAGTCCTAACGAGAAGGGAATCCTAACTGAACATCACCTTTCTCAAATGCTCCAAATGGTCTAAAATTACAAATGAATCTCAAAAACCCTGTACCCAAAAGCACATCATTTCATTCAGTTCAAAATGAGCTTTATTTGACGTCTTGGGTAAAGAGCTGTTTTTGTTGTTGTTTTTTTTATATATGTAAAAGTGTCTGTCAAGTTTATTGCAGTGTCTGTCTCACCTGGGTAGATTTCCATTAATTTTCTGAACCAGTGACCACACACGCTTTGTTGTAAATAAACTTTGCTCTCTGTAGAGCATTTTCCATATTCTCCAATGGAAATTCTTGTAGGGAATGGTGGTAGGAGTATATGAAAGATTCACTTCAATGGGGAGAAACCTGAAGTTACTTACTTGCACTTACTGCAATGCACTGGTACTAGAGACAGAAAACAGACCTGATATAAAAAGAATGACAGAGGCTCTGACCCCCACTGTTCAACACTACAGTAGAAGGAAAGCATTGCTGAAGTTTCACATTAATCAGTAGAAGCCATTCTCAACCAGGGTTCCTCCAGAGCTTACTAGAGGTTCCCTGAGCTGTGGCTGCTTAACTTCCTGGTGACTGGATAGTTCCATGTCCAGTGCCACTTGGCAGAGCCAGCAGCATGACACCAATGACCGTTTTAGCTGTCTGATGGGGCCGGTTCACACAAGCTCTGGTGCGTTCCACCACAATTTGCTGCTGCAACACACTAAAGCGCATCCTGGCCAGCTTCCTCCGTTCAGGGGCGGGAGGGTGCGTGGCGGTGCGTTAAAGTCCATGGCACCGCAGCCACCCCCTTCCTGCCTGCAGTGCGATCGCCTGCACCAGAGCATGTGGCACATCAGTGCCTGCGTTCAGGTCCGGTCCGATCTGAAAAAAATGCTCCCAAACTGCCAGTGTAAGGGGCATTCTTCCCACTGATCCCCGAGGAATTAGACATAGTTTCCCTGAGACCCGAAAATATTTTAAGGGTTCCTCTGGGGTAAAAAATGTCAGCTGTTGTTGAGAAGGGCTGCAACTAATGATTTTTTTCATAATCATTTAGTTGGCCAATTATTTTTTCAGATGAATCAGATAAAGAATATTAAATAAATACCATCCTTATTTTAAAATAAAATACACAATTGCAGTGTTACAAACATAAAGTTTACTTCAGAATAAAACTGCATGCGCAATTTTTTGCAATCGCACTGCACTGGAAAGCACAGCATTGAGGTACCGTACCTTCCAGTGCAGGCGACCACATTGTGGGTGGGAGGCACGTTTGAGGTGCCATTGAAATGAATGGCACTGCAACGCACCTCCCGCAGCAGAATTTGTCAGGCCGAAACTGAAAATGACTTTTTTCCCACCTTTTTATGATTCTTTTTTAAATAATTGTATTGTAAGCACATGGCGCTTGAATAGCTTCAGCCAGGTATGAAATGAAATACAGCAGGTACCTTATTTGCCGGCGTATAAAACGACTCGGCGTATAAGACGACCCCCTACTTTTTGTGTTAAAATATAGGTTTTGGGCTATACTCGTCGTATAAGACGAGTATAGCCCAAAACCTATATTTTAACACAAAAAGTAGGGGGTCGTCTTATACGCCGGGTACATACGGAAGGATACGGTATACTGTATGTAGCGGAAGCTACATACAGTATACCGTATCCTTCCGTATGTACCCGGCGTATAAGACGGGTTTTGAGGCCTTAAAACATCCCCCGAAAAGCGGGGGTCGTCTTATACGCCGGGTACATACGGAAGGATACGGTATACTGTATGTAGCGGAAGCTACATACAGTATACCGTATCCTTCCGTATGTACCCGGCGTATAAGACGACCACCGATTTTCGGGGGATGTTTTAAGGCCTCAAAACCCGTCTTATACGCTGGCAAATACGGTAGTGGGCGGGTGCAATTGCCAGCCTGCTATTGGCCATTTCAAATTGCAATAGGCAATAGCAGGCTCGCAGGCTATTGCACTCACCAACTTCTTGCTGTGCCCTCCTCCCAGCGCGGAGGAGAGAGCTAGGGGATCCAACCAACTAATCGATAATAAGAATAGTTAACAACTATACTCATTAATGATTATTATCAATTATTCGATTAGCTGGTTGCAGCCCTAGTACTGAGTAACCAAAACAATGAAAGATGATGACCTGCAATTGGCCAGACTATTCCCATCCCCATTATACTTTCATAAGATCATATCTGTGATTTAAAAAAAACCATGTATGAAACTTAACTTCTTTTCCAACCTTTCAGATCTCTGGGAATATTACCTACCCTATTTATATTCCTGCATTTCACTGATGGGATGTCTTTTATTACTCTGTAAGTAATGTCGGCTTTTTTTTCAAATGGATATCCTCACCTATGTTAAGTAATTTAAACCAAAAGTTGTTTTCCATCTTTTAAATATAAAAGAAAAAAACAGGTGATCCTGCCATTAGGGCCTTGGTTCGAGCCCTCCCTGTTATGGGATGACAACTGTCTCCTGGTTGTGCTCCTGCATTGTCACCCTGTCACATGATCCCCAGATGGAGGATACAAATGGCCATGCCGACTCTCATTGCACGGGCTGCTGTTTACACCGTTGGAAAGCTGGATTTGCAGCTGGAAAGCCTGCTTATGGGCAGGAAGTTGCTGAAAGGGGCATCAGGAGACCAGTATTGCTGGGATGCAAAGAATATTTTTTATTTTTAAAAGAGGTAAAAGCAACATTTTCTGGAAAAAAAAGGCAATTGATTATACAGAGTAGCAAAACTGAATGTTAATCAGGCGTGGTTTAGATTTACTAACTACATGAAAGTATAATCATTTCTATTTAATGTTTTTACACACTTACATTTGTACATGTCACTAGAAAGAGCAAACTCTTCATTTACAACCTCTCCCTTCCTAAAAGATGTTGAGGTGAGATGTCCGCCAGACTGGCAGTGTGTTGTTTTCACTTAAAGTGACACTAAACTCAGGAGTTAAAACTTAAAAATACATTACATCCTGTGATGGGCTACAATCTCAATACAAAGTAGTAAACTAAATGTGAGATTGTAGGGTGGCAACAAATGCAGCCACCCTCCAGAAGGAAGGACAGTGTCAGCACCAATTCAGAGATGATTTGAGGATCTACAGCCGAGTGATACACAAATAAGATACATTTGTGTTAATAGTTAAGGTACTTGGATGCATTTTTAAGATTTAACACCTGAGTTTAGTGTCACTTTAAAGGACTCATAGACTTGCTTGTGAGAAGAAGCAGTAAAGCACAACCATTGTGCATCACTGTAAATCAGGAAGTAGAGCCCGCTTATGTAATTAACTACCAAGGCTGCCCCCATGTACATATATAATCACAAATTATACAGTAGAAACAATGCTTTAAAAACATAAAATACAAGTTAAGATTATTTACACTAATCTGATCTCCTTTATATGTCTAAACACTGAAAACAAAGTCCAAATGCCATTCGCACTGCCACGGTCTCAAAACCACAAGGTATATGTGGTGCCCAGGTGACCACACGGATGGCGCAGTGCAAAACACTAATAGTAAATAAAAGTAATTCACCTGCACACACTTGAAGGGTTTTAAAAGTATTGATATATGTTTATTCGATACCCAATGTCACATACTGTCATACGGTGCTAACATTTCTGGTCCGCACAGGGGTCCTTCATCAGAGCGACAGTGAAGCTCTGATGAAGGACCCCTGTGCGCACCCGAAACGTTAGCACCGTATGACAGTATGTGACATTGGGTATCGAATAAACATATATCAATACTTTAAAAACCCTTCAAGTGTGTGCCGGTGAATTACTTTTATTTAAACACTGAAAAGACTATTAAAAAAAAGCCAAGGTAGTATACTAAAAGTAATATAAAGGCTTGTAGTAATCATTTAGTTTGTGGTAAGTTGAAAAATGTATTGATAAATCATATATCAATATTAGCTAATGTTCCATGCTACTTACGACTTCAGTTGAGCCCAATAAATTTGTCTCTCTCTTTTTAGTGTGTACACCAGTTGGACTTTCCAGAATGTTTGCAGTAATGGGTCAGCTTTTGGTCAAACCGACAGTAAGTGTTTGTTTTTCGCCATTAAAGTGGGCCACGCATCAGGTATATTTTTCATGTAAAGTGCATGCTGACAAAGTAATGTGTGAGTATAACACATACAGGTCTCTTATAGAGATCGCAGCACTCCCATTAATATTGCCTTCATATTTCTTTCTCCCCATAGAGAAACACCAGTTTGTTTAGGCATCATTCAGGGTCAGCATCTATTTCCTGCATTGACTGGTTGGCTCAGTGATGTAGGGCTGCAACTAATGATTATTTTCATAATCGATTAGTTGGCCAATTATTTTTTTGATAAGATAAAGAAATTAAATAAATGCCACCCTAATTTAAAATAAAATATACAATTGCAGTGCTACAAACACACAGTTTACTTCAAAATAAAACTGCATGTGCAATTTTTTGCAATCACACTGCACTAGAACACACAGCATTGAGGTACCGTACCTTCCAGTGCGAGCGATCACACTGTGGGTGGGAGGCGCGTTAGGGGCACCATTAAAATGAATGGCACGCCAATGCACCTCCCGCAGCAGAATTTGTCAGACCGAAACTGAAAATGACTTTTTTTTTCCCCCCACCTTTTATGATTTATAATCTATAAAGAACAATGGAGAATCAGTGCGCGTGCTGCTGTCAGTTTTCTTGGGAGATGAGCGGGCGGCGCGATCCGTAAGTGCATCACACTGTTCATGTTTTTTTTTTTTTACTTTATATTTTCCTCTTCATTCAGGTCTCTGCACAACAGTGTGGTGTGACCTCCCGTGCGGAGACCTCCAGTGCCATCTAGTGCGCTGCAGATAAATGCAGCATGTCTGCGTTTACTGCACCTCATATAACACCTGCGTTATGAACAGGTCACATAGAAAACAATTGCTTTTTATGTGCTCTTGCCGTGATTGGTGTTGATGCCATGCGGGCAAATGCCAGTCGGAGCACATAGTTAACATAGTCTAAAGGTCCAAAGCTCAAGGTCTTTCTTTGATAGTTGCTTTGCTCAGCCAGACTTTACAATGACCATTGCTCTAGAATATTTCTCCTTATGCCACAGTGTAGGCGGAATGTGATTATAGTTTTGTAGATGTAAATAGATGCTCTCTGAAATTTAGGGTTTCTCTTAAACTATTCATAAATAATTAATTTCCCAGTTAATTACTGACACACAGGCTAAAACACAGAGAGTGACAGCCTCAATTAAATGACAATAGGAAGATTTTTCTTCCCCCTACAAACTGCCCTAAAAATTCTTGCTGGTACTTTTTCAACACTCTAAGTCAAGTAGGAGCACACCGTTCTTAGCCATTCACTCCTCACTCTGAGGCTTTTCTTGTTCTGTTGGATGGGCTTGGAATTCCTCTGACATTCCTTGTGTGCTCTCCATATTCCCCTTCTGTTTCTGCGCCTCTGTCCCAAGTCCTCAGTCCCATGAACCTGTGACCTTTGTCTGCAACTTTCCTTTTATTGTTCCTCACACATTTCTTTGTTGACAGGGCAAAGAAATGTCCCCTTTTTTTTTCTCTCTAAATCTCCAGGCAGATTTTTTTACCTGCTGCTGTTTGTGACTGAGGAGAAAGCCCCCTTTTTCCATGTTCCCTATTAAGTGTTTCTTTTATGTTTTAAGATAAACTGACTTGCTTGGATCTGTGCTACATATTCAGCATTATACAGTTTTCAAGGACTGTTTGCTAAACAAGCCTTTGTTTGACTGCAAGTATTTGGTAAATAATGGTTAATTATTTAGCCACCTCTATTTTGCCATATAGTTAAAAAAAAAAAAGTTGGTGGAGTTGTGGACCATATTTTCTGCAACGCCATTTCTAAACGCAGAAAACACATATTGGAGCACTGCAGAAAACACAATTGGGCATCCAGTGTGCCTGTTAATGGCTGACAATCAGCCGCCTTCGGTTGTCATTAAACGATCATTGCACAGATAATAGTCACAATTTACAGAACCAATCAGAGTGGTTCTGTACCTTGTGATCACTGTGTACCAATCACAGCCATCGCCAAGTGTAACTGCTGCTAGTGTTTACAAACAATAACCTCAGGTAAATAATTGAAAAGAAATGTAAGCAATACCAAATGTTTGGTCTTTTCTTTTCTTTATATCGTAAATAATACTAATAATAAAAAAATGAATAATTAGCACCATAATAAAGCTCTGTCTGTCTAAAGAAAAAATTATGAAAAATTAATTTGGGTGCAGTGTTGCATCACCAAGTAATTGTCAGTCAAACTATCACAGCACTGAGAACTGAAAAATGGCCTGGTAATAAAGGAGTATATACAGGCGGGTACTCACGTGGTTCAAGAAGTGTTTTTGTGTTCGATGATAAAACTGACTCTTATTAGGTGTCTCTGTCTATCTGTCTCTTACTGTTAACGCTTTGCCAAGCTTCTTGGGGAAAAACATCTCTGTCACCAGACTGTGCTATGAATGATTTGGCTGGGCCTTGTAGCCTATAAGGACAGGAACAAATGTTGCTGTACAATAGTGTTCATCTACAAAGATCTGAATGTAAATGTGCCTGTGTACAAAGTCCAATATGCTTTGCAAGTTCTGAAGTTTAAATTCAGGAACTTGTGTTGTATTGCATTTACATTGTTTTTATGTGTTTCCAATTATTTATTTTAGATCCTTGAAGATCTTGATGAGCAGATGTATATCATAAGTTTACAAGAAGAGGCTCTACAGCGAAAGTTGAATGGTATTTCACTTCTAATTCTTCAGAATTACCTGTTTATTGTATTCTTCTACTGCCATTTAAGTGCAACTCAACCTTTCTCTTTACTTTTCTAAATGAGAGATTGAAAGTCAGGGCTTTAAAATATTAAAGTTTGTAAATCATGTTTCTAATATAACTTAAAGGAGAACTATGGGCTAAGTGTGTTTATCCCATAGTTCTCTTAATGGTCATGGGAGGACATATACTAGAAACGTGTGACAGTTTCATAGTCACACGTCGGCTCGAACTATCAGGATGAGTGTAAATCACTCACCTCATAGTTCTCCTTTTTAAATATTTCAACTTTCACAGGCTGCTGGAATTATCCTTTATTTTCGTTTTTTCTAGTAGATGTGTTGCTAGTGTCTATGCTACTGTCTATGGTTATTACACAAAAAGTAGAACATTTGCATAGTTACAGAGCTGTGTGCACAATGAACACTTTAACGACAAGGTGTATCTAAACTGCAGCTTATCAATCCTTTGATATGGTGGATGCATTAGTTTTCATTTTTTCCCCTTTATTTTCCCCTGGTAATCCTGCTAATAACACACTTCCTATTCCTGGGTGGCTACACTCCCTCCACTGTGTCTATGGAGGGCACTATGGTTGTTATAGGATTAGTAGCTCATAGAAGGAAGATGACATTGTTTGTGTTTTCAGTTGAGCTCACAGGAAGTGACAACAACAAATGTTTTTAGCCTGAAAAATGAACATTAATGCATCCACCACATCTGAGGACTGGTATGCTGAAATATATTAAATGTTTTTGGGTTTGGATATATGTTGAAGCATAGTAAGGTAAGATAGATCCTATGAATTATAAAAGTGATTATCTCATTGCACACCCTTGTATAGTCAAATTTGTCATAAATGTGCAATATTAATAAATGTAATTAGGGCTGCAACAACTAATCGACATAATCGATTATTGAAAAAGTTGTCAACTTTTTCAATAATCGATTAATCGGCTTCTGATCAGTTGGCCCTGTTCACGGCTCCACACACGCTGCGCGCCGCACCTCCTCCCCACCTCACGCTCGCCGCTGCCAGACCCGCCCGCCAGCATCCACGCTCTTCACGCCGCACCTCCTCCCCGCCTCACACTCACCGCCCGCCCACATCCACGATCGGCACAGGGACGCGGGGAGATGTAGTAAGGAGGAGCAGGCGTGGGCGGATGACAGCCGCCGATGGACAGACCCGATCTCAGAAGCAAGTTGCTGGAAGACTGCTCAGGTAAGCCTGCACTTTCCCACACATGGTGCTCTATAATGTATTTCTGGGATTTGTATTCCTCTATAGGTGATGGTACATTGTGCTGTATATTCTACATGGGAATACAAATCCCAGCAATACATTTTACACTGTATGTATAATGTATTGCTGGGATTTGTTGTACTCCTATATAGCTGGTGATATTCTGCACTGAGCTGTATAGAGGACTACAAATCCCAGCAATAATACATTATACAGCGCAATGCGGAATACCACAAGCTATAGAGTACAACAAATCCCAGCAATAGTACATTATACAGTGGTGCAATGCCGAATACCATGAGCTATAGAAGACTACAAAACCTAGCAACAGTACATTATACAGCGCAATGCAGAATACCACCAGCTATAATGTACTATTGCTGGGATTTGTAGTCCTCTATAGTCGGTGCCATTCTGCATTCATTGCTGTATAATTTTACACTTTGCATTTTCTTTTCACTATATTGCACACCACCTATTTTTTTTTTCTTTTCTTTTTTACTTCTACCGCTCCAAGCTTGCTCCTGTGATGGAGTGCAATCTCAATACAAACTAGTAGTCCATCACTGGAGCCATTTTTAAAAATTTATTTTATTGTTTATCCGATTAATCGAACTTAATAATCGGCTAACTAATCGATTTTAAAAATAATCGTTAGCTGCGGCTCTAAATGTAATGTCTCAAGGAAAAGCATAGGGGGAGTGGAAGGGGTACTTCATGTATATTGGAGTTGTCATATTTAAAGAGGACCTTTTCCTTTAAAAAAATATTATTCGTGAATTCAATATTAATTCAGGAATGAATACCACCACAGCTGCCGTGCCAAGGTTGCCTACTCCGGGGCTGCATGTCACAATATTCGGAAATCCGTGCCGGATTTTCTATATGCTCCCTGTTTCTGGGCTGTCAGCCTATGGTGTCTCACAAGGCTGCAGCCAATCTGCTCTCCTTCTCACCTATTTAGGAGTTCCTCACTTGTTGCTCTTGGTGCGAGCAACAAGTCTTATGCCTTGTTCCGTACCCCTTCTGTCTCTGACTAACCCTGGGATCTTATTCCCTGCGCTTGCTAATGCGCTTGCTATTGGATCCCTGCGCCTTTGGCTTCCCTGTACCAGTTAGTATCCCTTTTTGGCGTTATCCCCTGCTTTTGCTCCTTAATTGCCTTCACCTGTGCGCCTCTCCATACTGCCTTCTTTGCCTTACTTCTACTGTGTTTTCCCTCTACAGTCTGTCTGTTTGCTGCCTCCTATTTACTGCTTGTTGTACTTCTACTCCGTCACTTACCTTCCAGTGTATCTTCCTTTGCTTTGCTGTCACCCCTTTATTTCTGTGCTCCTCTCTAACCTGGTGGCTGTGTTGGATTCATCCTTGTCTGCACACCCCCTGTGTGCATACATCCCTTTTGTGCTTCTTTGTGTACTTTTCTCTCTGTTATCCTGCTTCTTTGTATGCATGTGCAACGCACATCTCGTTTACTTTTGTACGTTGCACCTTCCTGCTCCTAGGTGTGCCTCTAAGCCGCTTACCCTTCCCTAGTGTCCTTGCTTATCTATTCTCTTCAGTATACTCTGCTGTTCTGCTGTGCGTTTGCACTTTTGCTTGAGACTTTCTCTCTCTCTCCCTCTTCCTGTCTTCCTCCTCTTGGTTACAAGTTTCTTCCCTACCTGTTTGTATCCAGTTCCCCGCTGCATGAACTAGTCCCTTGCGTCTGTGTGGGTGCGCTAGAGGGCCGCAACCTGGAAGGTGTCCAGCAGCCAATCATCCTCACCACTAGAGGCTCTGTCGAATACCTGGCCCTTCTTAGATTCTGCGCCTCTAGTGCGTCCTCAGAACGCACAGATCATTCGTTCCTCTCTCCCTGTGACCTACATCCCCGATATCCCGCCTCTTTGTGACTCCTACCAACTCCGCAAACACAGGAGCTCATGTGCCCTGGTCCCTAGACCGTGACACTGCACTGTGGCAAAATTAGGTGCGACAGCCGTAGCTTTCACACAACACCTCAGAACATCACTGAGACATTAACCTCTTTTACAATCTAAACGCTTTATCAGAGCTACCGTGTTTCCCCGATAATAAGACACTGTCTTATATTTTTTGGGGCTCAAAAAAACACACTAGGTCTTATTTTCGGATAGGTCTTATTTTTATTTTTTAATGTACAACAATCCACACTTATTCATCTACAAAAATATGGTGATGAGGGTAATCAGTGGTTCTGTACCTTTCCAAGAGCAATTAGCTAACCAATCGCTGGCCAGAATGAGCGAAGCGCACTTTCACTATCGATTCCTCACAGGCGGAGTGCATTTGGTATCACTCCGCCTGTGACATGAGTCGGCGCTATAGAGGTGGCATCTGCTTATGCGGCTCTGCTCCCTCCGGTGCCGCCTCGCTTCCTCAAGTGCTGGCTTTGTTGGCACCGCTGATTCTCTCCTGCCTCTCCCGCGGCTCTTCAAGTTCGCCCTTATGCCACCACCGGCCCTGGGAATGGTCACAACTAGGTCTTATTTTCAGGGTAGGTTTTATATTTGAGCAATTCCCAAAAATTGTACTAGGTCTTATTTTCGGGGTAGGTCTTATTTTCGGGGAAACAGGGTACATAGAAAGGAAAGTGTTTGTCGATAAGACTGCCTGGCTTAATTTATGCGGTAACGGGGCTTAATTGGTATTTGCCTTCCAAAATACCCTAAGGGCCCATTCACATTTACAGTATGCATTATGTTAAACATGTGATCTGTTGCTGCATAACTGTGCTATTCATTTTGAATGGCACTGAACCCGCACTGCAGCACACCACAACGCACTTGCTGTGCACTTTTAAAACGTCCGCACCCGCTCTATCTGTCACTAAAAAATAATATAACATTAATTTCAGTACAGCATTGCATGACGGAATAAATGTCAGTCAAAGTACTGCAGCGTTGAATACTGAAAAATGGCCTGAACAGGAAGGGAACATGTAGGATTCTGAGCCATTGCTGTGCATTGGCAGCCCATTTATAAATAATGGGCTGCCTTAATGCAACACATGCGCCACAAGCGTGTTATTACACAATAAATGTAAATGGGTTCTAAAGTTTTTATAATAATAATTTAAAAAAAATACTTTTTTCCACATACGTGTTTCCTTTATAGCATATGATTTTCTTTTAAGGCTACAAATACACCTAACATACAATAGTCCCCTGAAATCCAGTGCTGTAGTAACTCTTCACCGCTGAGGTCTTCCTACACTACACCAGCTCTACTTGCTTCTGTGTGTTTGAACAATTGTGACATTTTAATGAAGACAAAACCGGCGACCTGGAACACATGTTCACCATCTTGTAAGCTCTCTTGTTGTCCGGTATGTTGCTAGTGTTTCTGGCCTCTGTTTGACATATTTCACATAGTTTGTTCCTATTCTGTGCAGTTGAAAGTTCAGAGTATGAGAACTGACAACTGTTGAAAGACACACAATAGGCTTCCATTAATCTGGGGTCACTTATAAATAAAAGTCTTGTTTATTTATATACCATATTTGTGTGGTTCTTTTTTCCAAGTTTATGAAGGTTTTGTATGGAGAAAACACGTTTTAAATGTTTACTATCGGAATTGGTAAATGATAAAGAAAAGTAAAGCCCTGCATCTCACACCCCGGAGTGCAGGAACATGGGAGAATCTTCCAACATGGTATGAGCAATGACAGGACTCTCCAACTAATTAGACTATATTGGGT